TTTGTTTAACAAATTCAGACTATGCAATCAATAACCAGTCATTGTATATGTAATATCGGACAAGAGGATTTTTATTTTTGTCTTTTGCGTCTCCCAAAATCATTTGGTAATATAGGGTTGGTATTTTAGACTAAAAAATTGAAAAACCACAAATACTGATCGAAGTTTTACCTCATCTAAACCGACCTATAGCGAAAAGCAATCGCAACATGCAAATTATAAAACCAATCTCAATATGCAGTTGTGGTTGCAGTTCCGCATATCCAAATAATACGGTATACTGAAAAACGAAATATAATTTAATTAATTATTTTATATTAACTAACAGAGGCCGGACAAAAGGACACAAATGACTAATCTCTAGACACTGAACGATGCAATATTCATGGAAAACGTGTGAGCAAGGCAATCGAATAACTTCATGAACAAAGCCCACCATGCAAACAAAACACGACTTATGTCTTGTAGCTTCCAAATCATCATAGCCTCTCAATTTCTCCAAATTCTCAATGAATGATTTTTAGTCGCCGGAATCAAACGATCATGATATGCCTCCATAGATTCCCTTGTAACCTCATCATCAATCATGTCATTTTGATCATCACTAACACGAGTCAGATCATTTACGTCCACAAGAACATTACAACTTAAGGTTTGCCGATTTCACGACATGAAAAAACTTTCAAATAATTTAGGGGTGCTCACTTTCAGTTTTTTCGTTTTTGTCAAAGTGTTCAGTAGTGTCGAATGAATCAATTATTTTTTGAGTAATGACCGTCTTGTTGGGAAGGACGGTGAGGGTACACTTTAGGTAAAAATGGTGAGCAAAAATGATTCCCCCTAATTAGCCAAAGCCTAGATATAAATCATATTTCAACAAAAAAATAAAAAAGAAGAAGACATAAATCATATTTCAACAACAAAAAAGAAGAAGATATAAATCATATAATATAAATTCATGTGGTCCTTTCAAATCTTATAAAATTTTATGATATAAATCTTTTAAAATTCAAAAATAAAAAATTATGATTATAGAAATCCACGAATAAAATATTACAAGTCATTACATTCCTAAATAATCTTTTAAAATACACTGAACTTATTTATCCCGAAATTGTATTTTAAAATCCCCTAATTTGCTGTTTCACTCCAGGAGCTTGGCTTAATTGACGAGCGGCAAACTCCGTTGAAAGAAACCAGTTTTCCTCCTCGTCAGAAAGTTTTGAGAACTTCATATATCTCTCCTCAATCGCCCTCCTCTGCTTTCTGGTTCTTGTTTTTGGTTAGTCTATTATGACTGGAAGTAGAAGCAGAGACTCTGAGCAAGTCACGCAGAAACCCAATTCAGACTCAGACCCAGCTTCAAAGAAAGCCAGAGGCTTGACCATTGAAGGCTACCCAGTTGAAGGTTTGTCCATTGGAGGCCATGAAACCTGCATAATCTTCCCGACTCTTAATTTGTCTTTCGATATTGGACGCTGCCCACAGCGTGCTATCTCCCAGGACTTCCTCTTCATCTCTCATGCTCATATGGATCACATTGTATGTATGCATACCTTTCTCATCTCCTCTCTCCTTATTTGCGTTTTGGGTTCTTTCTAAATGCCTGTTTATATTTATGCGTTTTTGTTTTCATTTAATTTTTCTCTTTGATGAATGACAAGTTTTGTTTTCCCTTGACTTGCTGATGTTCGTGTTTTCTTTTATGTACTTGTGATGGTGGAAGATTTTAGTTTGCTATCTAAAAATAATTGCTTTCACAGTGATTGGAGCACTTGAATGGTACAATTTGACATGAATTCGGGCCTCTTTGCTGACTTGGGTATTCTTTTTCAGTTTGGTAGAAGTGCATATATTGTATTTAGTAAATGAGAGATTGGTTTTTCTAACGCTGCTAAAGGATACATACTGCGTGATTGTTCATGATTTTTTTGGACTATTTTCTGCACATACAAATTGTCATGATAATTTGAGGAGTTAAATTCAAAGTTTAACTATCTTAGATACTGGTAAAAAATAATGAAATCTTCTAATGTTTGGATGCATATCTAAATTTTTAAGGAACTAGCATGTATATGCAGATACGTGAGCGGAAAGCCTAAGGTTTCTGATGGATATGGGGCTCGGTGTTATTAAATGGTTTTGTGTTGAGGGGTGTGGAATCAAATGGATTCAAGGCTAATAGCATTTCTCTCAATGTAAATAGTCCCAGAATCCATGGTGAAGTTCCAAAATATCTTAAACTATAGTTAGAACCCCCCACATCGCAGAAACCCAATAAAAAGGAAAAGGGACTAAAATGGGTCATTATCTCATCATTTGATTTCCCTAAGCACCGTGTGTTGGTGGATCCCTTTCATTGACCAATATCTGAACATGGCCAATGTTTCTGCACTTCTACTTATGATTCACATCTATACGACAGGGAGGACTTCCCATGTATGTTGCAACCCGTGGATTGTACAGTATGAAGCCCCCAACAATCATTGTACCCACATGTATAAAAGAAGTTGTGGAACAACTTTTTGAGGTGCACAGAAAAATGGACCAATCAGAGCTGAATCATAATCTAGTTGGCTTAGATGTTGGTAATCTCTGATTGTTACTCAAATTGAGCCATCAAATGACAACTTTTCTTCTTGTGCCCTCTACTTGCAGAATGGATTTCATGTTTATCTTATGCAATTTATGTTTGCAGGAGAAGAATTCTATCTGAGAAAGGATCTCAAAGTAAAAGCTTTTAAGACTTATCATGTAATACCAAGTCAGGTATCCTAATTATTTGTAATACGTTATGTTTTGGAATTCTATTAAGACTGATCAATAAATTATTTTGAGATTTACCGAAGGACTAACTGGCTATGAATGATATATGACAGGGTTATGTTGTATACTCTATAAAACAGAAACTTAAGCAGGAGTACATTGGCCTTTCGGGGAATGAAATTAAAAACTTGAAATCATCAGGTGTTGAGGTGGGTCTTGAAAATCCTATATAGCTGTGTTTTTTGTTTCTTCTTTATGCTACTTGATTGCACTTTTTTCATTGATAAGTACCGACTGATTTTCCTTTCTTTGTTTGAGCGGTGTCTTGTATTTGAGATAATTATTAAGGAGCTGGATGTACCAACAAGGAGATCTAGCCGCCTTACAAATGTGATTAAGGGGTTGGATGAGGTTCGGTTACTCTTTGGTTCCATTTCTATTGAAAGAAAACGAAGGAGAAGATGAAGGGAGGGAAAAAAATGTGTTCTATGATATGGAAAAATATTTACCCTCAAATTCATAGTTACAACTCTTTGGTTTTATGTTGTCAATTTTACACTTTAGACATTTTTGGTTTGAAAGCTCCACTAACCATTTCTGAACAACCTCAAATAATTATCCTATTTTCATGTGTTGTTTTTCTCAAAGTTTCACCGCCCCACTAACCCCTTTTTTTTTTTTTTTTTGGGGTTATCTACAGATTACAAACACTTTTACAGAACCTCAAGTGGCTTTTACAGGAGATACCATGTCTGACTTCATAACTGACAGTAGTAATATTGATGTGCTGAAAGCAAAGATTCTTGTTGTGGAGGTGCATTACTTGTTTAGAGTTTCTAGCATGTGTGAGGCTAATACTATTATAAATGGTTAGTGTATTATACATGTTTCCTAAATCTTATGCAGAGCACCTTCGTAGATGACTCAGTTAAAGTGGAGCATGCAAGAGAGTACGGACACATGCATCTATCCGAGGTTCATCTCCAGAGTCATTAGATTTCTTACTGCTTGCCTTCTTCAAACTCCGATTTATCATGTATCCATCTAGGCTCCTCACAATATTTGATCTTGTCATATGTGGATGGCTTTTTTCCAGATAATTAGTCATGCAGAGAAGTTTGAAAACAAAGCAATTCTTCTTATTCACTTTTCAGCTCGGTACACAGTAAAGGTATGATGGTCTGGCTCATTGCTGTTTTGTGTCTTTGTCATCATTGAACTTTGGACATTCATACTTGTGTTTTACCAGGAAATTGAACAAGCTGTATCAGTGTTGCCTTCTCCTTTGGCAGGCCGAGTTTTTGCACTTACAGAAGGTATTTGATGGCAAGCCAGTCAGCTTCTGTTGTTGGTTCTTTATTTGGAGAAACTCTAGTTGGGGACGCCCTTTCTTTTTAGGACTAATAGAAGAGCATAGGGTGTTGTTTGATTGACTGAACAATCTCAATAACATTCTCAATTAGTCTCCTGAATTGCATGGCTAGAAGATAAAGCTAAGAGTGCAAATTAACGAAGCAAATTATATGTGGACTCGTTTGGTTGCTCGGCCTGAACTAGATTGGAATTGAATCCAAGGCAGTCCTCATGAGTATCATCCCTCCAGATGGGACTTGTAAGACGCTATGTTGAATTCGTCTCCATTTTTCATGACATGAATTTTGGCCACTGAAATTTGTGTGCTGAAGACAAGCATATGCCATGAGGAAACTCTGACAGGCAATCTTCAGCGTTACGATAAATGAGTGCTAGAACATATAGTTAGGCCTATGTGGATTTTATTTGCTTATTGGCTGTTCCACTTGTATAAATCCCATGTATCTAATCAAGATTAAAGAGCTGGGCAAGCCAGTGTTGATTTTCAGTCATACTCAATTTCATTGATCTTATTTATAGAACTTCGTGTTGATTTTCATAGCACGCAGCAGTGAGATGGTGCTCCAATGTTTTATATTCATTTTGATTTTCGCGGTTGTTTGGTGCCTCTTAATGCATTTACAGCCCTTGGATAATGAAGGCCATAATTCAACTAGATTTTATTAGTCTTGGTTTTCGTGGATAGAGGTTTTTCTTTTTGTATTCTTAGTTTGGTCAACGGTAAAACATAAATTATACGCTTCAAAGAAAGGGCAGGGATATGACCCCAAACAATAAAGGATTTTTTTTTGGGGGGGGGGAAGATAATTGAGCTGTTAAAAAAAAAAAATTACAAATCAAATACGATCCATCTCAAAATGCACACCAACAAAAGAATCATGAACATTAGAACTTTATAGTTACTGCAATTCATTCTGTAAAAAAATTCCATAGTACAATTCAAAAAGAACATTGATGAAGCACAGTGGCCTTAAACTTCAGCCTTCAACGTATCAGCTGCACTGGCCACAGAACAGCAGAACCTTGCTTCCAAGGTCAAGGATGCAACCACTTCGTTTATAGATCTCAGCTCGTCGTGAAACTCCAGATGCAACACCAATGCAGAGTAATTCTCATCCAGCAGCACCCCAATGCATTTCGCAACATCTTCAAGTTTAGGAACCCAATCACACGCCTTCAAACCCAATGCTGTTGATGCCTTGTGACAGGGACCTACCTGAGGAAACCTCTCATACTTCTTCAGCCACTTCCCCAGATACCGGAGCAAACTCTTCATCTCTCTACCACTCAACTTACTGATCGCGGCCGACAACATCACTTCATCAAGATTCTTTGATGCCAAGAGATAATGCAGGCAGAGTTCTGCAGAAGAGAACCCATCATATGCCACCATAAGCAAAACTGCAGCCTCTTTCGCAATGCCTAGTTTCTTCCCCGAGAGAGTCTTATCAGTGGCCTTCTCAGCAGCTGACAAGGCTTGGCTCTCCCATTCCTTCCTCACATCTACAGTGCTAGTATAACCATCTTTAGGTGGATCAAGAAAGTACTTCAAGATCAGGAGCAACTCAGATGACCCAAGATCCGATGCATGCTTAACACAAAGACACAGCAAATCTGACCTCCTCTTTGCCACAACTTTTGGAACCAAATTCTGATAACAAGCATTTGGCAAAAGCCCATTTGCAATCAAACTACCTACCAATTCCCAAATCTCCAAACCAACGCAGGCATCCAAAACCAAACCAGCAACGTCCTTGCCCATGAAAGACCCAACTTTCTTCATCAAAATCTGGGTATACGCATCATTAGACGAATCAACCCCAATCGAAATCCCAACTTTTTCCCTAATACTCTCAAGAAATGGATTCAAGGTTGCCAAAAACTCGGCTTTAGCAAAATTATTCGGGTTTTTGAGCTTCTTTTTAAGCTTGGTGAAGAATTTCTTTCCCAACTCGATGATCTCAGAGTCGGTTTGTGAAATTTGCCATCCGCTCATGGGGATTGCAACTGACATGGGATTTGGGTCATCAAGTTTGGGCGTCAGTTTGGCAAAAATAGAATCTGGGTCAAGAACAATGGGGTAGTCTGATGGGACATGTTGAGTTTGAGATTTGGCGGAGGCCTTTGCAATGACTTCGAGCAACGACATGACTGAAAATCTAAAAGCACAAACGAAAAGGAAAGAATATATATGAAGCTATGCTTAAAAATTACAAAGAAGAAAACAAGAAAACAGATTGACGTGAGCTTACAAGGAAAGGGATACAGATGGACGCGCGAGCCTGAAGAAGCGAGGAGCTTTCCGCCAAAGTGCGGCGGCAGCAAGAGCAGAGAGATGGTAGGCTAACGCAGAGAAACAGAGGTTGAGCAAGGGTTTTAGTTAGCAAAGCTGAAGAAGAAAAAATGGGGTTTATGACTCGTTTTAACTAATATGGGCCACTTTGATAAAGAAAAAGCCCAATATGGGCCAGTGTTGGGCTCGGACGTCAGGCCCATTAATCTTTAAGGAGTGAGACTGTGAGACCCAAAAAGAAGGTACAGACCAATCTAGTTCTTGTTTTGCTTAGGGGTGTACAAGATCCAATACAATCCGTCCGAACCGACTAATCTAATTCAATTTAATTCAATGTGAATCGATTTCGATGATCTGGAGAATTGGATTGGATTGGATTCATAATTTTCAAACAACATGATTGGATTATATCCATAATTTTCAAAACCGACATAATGGAGTTATGTTTAACATATTATATAATCAAAACAATTTTCTTTAATATTTCATTTATATTTTATATTTACCTCTATTAATATATTTGATTAGATTAAACCTAAAGATAAATATTTAATATTTCATTATTGTCTTTTTTCCATTATCAAAATTGATCATTCAATCCAATCCAATATTAATTAGATCAGATCAAATCGAATTTAAACAAATAATATGATTGGATTGGATTGAAAAAATTACAATCCAATCTACATTGAATCGGATGTGGATTGATTAAATTATATTGGATGTGGATTGAATAAATTATATTGGTTTCGAACTATGTGTGATGTGTGCAGTTGGGGGAAGACTTGAATTATCAGTTTCTTTATTTGGAAAAAAAAAAAAATATAGCCCTTCAGTTTTTTCTTTTTAAATTTTTTTGGTTCTTTGGATGCAATTTGAAGAAATCATGAATACATAGCCACAGCTCTCTCTCTCTCTCTCTCTCTCTCTCTCTCTCTCTCTCTCTCTCTCTCTCAAATGATAGAAAGGAAAGAAGAAAAGTGGCCAATTAATCAATTAGAAGGCTTGGGAAGAAAATCCCTTCATTTTATTGCATAACTGAGAAATGTCTAAGGGTCAACGGTAGCTACTATGTGCAGCATCAGCAGATGTGTCAGAACCTACAACTACATGCTTGTTCACATCGAACGGAAGGCCCCGTGTTCTTCTCATCTGGTCCATGATGACTCTCTAAGTAGAAGGTGGAATTTCCCACTGCTTTGGAAGTGGACCAACATCATAGATGATTTCTCTATGGCATGACCAGACGAGCTTTATTGCTTCTGGGGTCCCAATGCCAGCTCCCCTTGGGTCTCCAGCTGGTCCAAACCTGTCACAAACCATCATTCGAAGTATTTAAGCACTCCGAAACCTTCACATGAAGTACGAAAAGTTTAAGAAATTTTGTACTGACCAGTGATTCTGTGGAGCTCCAGTTGTTCTTGCTCTCAGTCCAGCATAAGTAGTCCCGTTTACCGAGTTCCCAATAACTTCCTGCAAATAGACTTTCAGAATAAGTATGAAATTTTTTTTTTTACAAAGTTGATTCAATATCCATCCTTTTAGGAAGAAGTGAATCAATAAGCTTTCACGAAAAGACTTGCCAGGTAGGTTTCAAATGAAATGCTCATGAGGTGCATTAGTTTGTATTAAGTCCATTCTAAAGCATATAATAGCTATCTTTAAGAACTTCTTAATCCAGAGTTGTAAACTTGTAATGACGTTGAGCGTGTCGTTTGACTTAAGAAAAATTTGTGATCGTACAGATATAGAGACAGTGGTTAAATCTTGCCTGTAGAAATAGTGGATCATTTGAAACAACAGCAGCTGTTAAATGTGCATGCATCCTTTCTACAGCATCCAACACCAGTGGGAGTTGATCACTCCTATAGTCGGTGACAACCTAGGAGCCAGTATGTTAACGTCAGTAGCAAATATAACATAAAAGAAAAAAAGCACACACGCACACACACGAAATATGCAGCCCAAAATTTTACTCTCTGTGCCCTCTCAAGCACCAACCAATTTTCAAATTGTCCAAGTTATGAATAATTTGAATGATCAAATACCATTATCCTCACCACAAAAACTTGCCATAGAATATGATGCGATGAAGTACAGTAAATTACAAAAAACATGAGAAAAATAGAAGGAACTTAGGTACCTGAAATGGCCCAAAAATTTCTCTTGTCACAAGGTCAAAATTATTTCCCTTCAGTATTTCTTCAAGTGGAACATAAATGGCTGTAGGTTCTATGGCACCATATATGGGTGGAATGGAATGGTTCTTTAAGGGTTCACCCCCGAAGAGTAGCTTTGAACCTGATATCTGAAGCAATTTATTCTTGTGTTCTAGCATTGTTTCAGTTGTGACCTGCAACAACATAAGCGTGTAAAGAGATATGTTGTTAAATAACTTAAATTAGTACAGAACGGGACAAGTAGCGTCCTTACTGTAAGGACAGGGCCAATGGTTAAATCTTCTAAGTTCCTTCTCTCAGCCAGATCTTTCATCTTGGATAGAAGTGAAGTCTTAGACCAGTTCTGCATAAGAATATGAAAAAGGTATCAACGAAAAAGGAAAAAAGATGTTGACAGCTTGTTGATTGAAACTCAAAATGTACAAGTCTCAACAATAATAGCCTACTAGAAATCCCACTGATGGCATGTAAGCCACAGAACAGGATGTAAGATAGATATCTCCCCAAGATAACCACTTAGTATGCTTGACTGTAGGGTTTTAATATTGGACTTCTCATTAATCATTAGAAGGCCACACCTAATAATCTCTACTGTGGATCAAAACCAATTAGCCTTTCATCTGTCCATTGTTTTTTGCAATGATCTATGACAAAATTATCATCCAAATTTTTGCTGCAATATCTTAAGGTACACCTGTATCGAGGAACATACACAACTGTGAGCACCTTGAGCCAATACTACTCACGACTACTCCAAGTCTCCACCTTAAATGAATTTCAATTTTGCATCATACCATCCATCATCATCACATGACCTATAGAAGAATAATCATCCTACTTGTTGCTACAATATTTCAAAGGCACGTGCAACTCTGAGCACATGGATATGCACCTCCACCTCAAGCTGCAACTCATGCCTGCACCACCTTGACTGACTTCCAATTCTGCATATTAAAACCATGCTGATACAACACCTACACCAACTAACTGGGGGCCTAGTTCACACCTTGCACCCTAATTTAACCATCTGGTGAGCTGGTGTATACTTTTACCTTGAAAGGTCTCAGTCCCAGGTAAAACTCCTAACACATTAGTTGATGTGAGACTACTATATTTGATCCACACATATGAATAAAAATCTCAGCAGGACTGTAAACAGAAGGTTTAAAATTGGAGAGGCTTACCTCGTGTATGAAGAGCATCGATTGTGCAGAGCACTTCTGACCACTGCATGCATATGCATCCTGATCACAGACCCATGCAACATAGTCTTCCTGCCACATAAACGAAAACAGATAACTCAACAATAGATGTTACTCTACCGAGAGAGAATTGTATAATCTAAAACATAAAGCTTTTGTAAGAAACCTCCTGAACATCAGGCCCTAAGATCTTCCAGTCAAATCCTGCATCCTCCAACTTAACACGACCCTTCAAGTCTAGAGCTAATTTTTCTGCCACTCTTGAGCTACCAGTGAAGAGGGTCATTCGTGTATTGGCCTGTTGAAGCAATAGTAGTAAAATACTTCAATATTGTGCAAGTTATTTCAATTTGCACCTCGTAAGTTAGTAACATAGCATTTACGAACTGCAAATATGTGGAGGAAAGCTATGAGCAGTCTCTATTCTAAATTATAATAAGCTGCAAATACTTTAATATTGTACTTTGAACCAACCTCCAATAGTAGCTTGTTCATTGTCTTCCCATCAGAATTGATGAACTCAACATCCTCTATTGGTAACCCACAGTAATGAAGCAGCCTCATCATTTGCTCCATAACAATGCTTACCTACAAATGAAAATGTTTGGTCAACAGTTTACCCATCCACACAGAGAAAGATCACAAAGGGCCATATGACAAACACAAAATCTAAACGCTTGCTAGAAAAGGGTTTCCAATAGATTAAATAAACCCAATTAAAAAAAAAACCAATTAACTTGTGGAAAGAGGTTTCGACTCAGAAATTAGTCAACCAATGACTATCTAGGCACATGCATCATACTCTCTCTCCCCCACAGTTTTAATTATATCCAAAGTACAGATGCTTCTTTCTTTTTAAATATATACACATGTTTTTATCTGCTCAGTTGCAAACATATATTAATCATTGGACTGGTAAACTAACAATTACAATGGACATCAAATGTCATGTTAAAGAACGATAAACTATACCACCTACCAACAGAAATTAAATTGTAATACCTTGCTATCCACTTTGAGGATTGGCTTGTTACCCATATAAAGTGCACCCATCAACTGAAGTACAGGAATTTCTAGAGGAAAATTAAAGGGAGTAACAATTGCCACCTGCAAGAAGATTCTTTCATATGTCCAATTATGAAAATAACAAAATTTGTATGAAAAGCTTAAGATTTCAGGTTTGCAAACAAAAATCAAGTATGTTCAGAGATACGCTTACAGGACCATAAGGCCAACGAAAACCATGGCTTTGCTGTCCGAGATGATTTCCAGGAACCCCAAAAGACCTTGCTAAGAAGCGGACCTGCCACATATGTGTCAAAAAAAGATAGTAAAGAAAGTTGAGAAGGACTTTATGTGAATTTATATTCCATTAGGTTAATGCAATGGAACGTACTGTGCTTAACCCAAGAGTATAAATAATACTCTACTCCTATACTGTGCGGGAGAAGCTAGGGATAAGTGTGACAACCAGTTATGGGGCAATTTGGGCAGTACTGCATTGACACTAATAAGTACAGGACCAATCAATTGTAAGGCATTCAACTCCAATTAAGCCCCTATCACTCTTCATTCTTTTCTTTTCCCTTTCACATTTTTTACTGAAAACATAAAAGGTGAAGCTGATGTTTGTTTCTATAGTTTACCTGATCACCAGCAAAATTCTCCAGAAATTTTCGAGTAACATAAACTTCACCAGAAGCCTGCTGGTAACTCTTTGGAGCAACCCTTTGTATTAATCTTGTGAAGAAATCAGAAACCTGAAAGGTCAAAACGTCAAACTGCATCAGTCTTAATTCAAATACTGGAAAGAGGTAAAAGAAGAAGAACACTGTCCTTCTGCTGTACACTTGTTACCTTTGGCAACGAAAGCATGTGAGCTGCCTTTGCAGATATGTCCCCAAACATAAGATACCTGCAATAAATGGTCTACCAGTTGTAATTTTTGTTTCAAATTTTATAGAATATCACCATCAAGTTCTTCAAAAGGGAAAAGTTGATGAAAATATTGTAATCCTACCATGATATGATATTATGTGAGTAATCTTAGGCAACAAATAATGCCTAAAAAATTGAATGAGGGCAAAACAACAGAATACAATAAACACAAACCTCTCTGGTGCTTTGAACGGATTGTGAAGGCCATGTTTCGGGCACTTGGACAAGCTCTCAACAAACGGCTGCAATAGCAGTCCAACAAATTTAGTTAAGGTGTGCATACAATGACATAGAACATGTCAAAGTTTAAGCAAACTGTGTTGCATACAAAGTGAAATTGAAATAGGACATTATGAAAAGACATTACGAACTCTGACAAGTGCCTAAAACATAAGCCAAGATGGGTGCTCAGTTACCCACTATATTCACTGGACAAAGGAAATGATTGATTTGTAAAGAAAGCAAAAGGATACTTGTACACTATAATCTACATGCATACCTGAATTCCTGTTTCATCTACTTCACAAACTTTAATGAATGGTTCCCCATTTAAAGGATCCAAAATTGTGTTCCATCTAGCAGTTTTCTTCCATTTCCCCTGCACTAAAGAAATAAAACATTTTATTTTAAATAGATTCAAATACCAGGTTTCTTTTTCTTCCAGTCGGTTTTAACCTTACTGAGAGGTCCATTGATCATTCTTTAAAAAGATTACAAGGAAAATACAAACAAATAAAAGCAAAATAACTATTCCAAGGAATAACAATTAACGGATCAGGTTATAATTCCTGGTTTTACTCTCCAGTTATACTCCAAGACCAATTACTGTTCTGAGTGCAGGACATTATTCATGGGAATCGATTTCCGGCGGCAAATGACACATACTGCTAAAGTGTCGGAACCTACCCAAGTTTAGTACTTCAGCAGGCTGTGAACCAGATATCTCTTCCGCCTCAACGGTTGCAAATGGTAACCCATGAACAGATCTGCCATAAAAGGAGGGAAAACGAAATTGTCAAAAATTATCACTAGAAAGGCCATTATGAATAAGACATACAAAATATGTTGTAAAACTCTTCAGTTATATGGTAGAAATCGAAGTTCCTACAGAAACATACATCATCAGATACAGATATTCCACCCCTATAAAAAATTACATGAATGTGCAGCATGTCTTGAATTAAAATCCAAATGCATTACATTTTCCAGAAGTCGATGGGATGAGAACATGGATCCATTAAATTAAACAGAAATAAAATCTCATGGACATCAATCAATCATCCTAAACGTTGATAATGAAATGCAGAAAGCTCGATTCTTTTTGCATAACACAGACAGATATCAATAGATATAAGAAAACCCAACACCCTAAATTGCCTATAATCCTCAAAGCAATACAAACCCAGATATATTTTTACCATTTAAAACAAACCCAAGAACCAAAATCATATTTGATGCAGGAAACAGATTATCATACCTTGAGATGTTTAATGAACTGAACCAGCTCAAGGCTGTCTGGGGCGCTCTGGCTCTGAGTTCTCTGCAAGCCAGAATCCTATTCATGGTGACTAACGCAACAGAACTAAATGAAATATGATTGGATTTGTCCCTGAGCTATTAACTTCGATCCTCTCCTTTTTATATGCCAATCCTAGTTGCAGACTTAACCTCAGCACTCTTGGAAAGCTGCGTGGAGAAAGCGGTCACTCTCACATACTCTTGGATCTTTCTGTTCCTGGATTTACGATTGTACTACTCCACTGAATTCCACGTCACAATGACACGTAATCACAATCCTGAATTGTAGCATGTAGATGAGACTAGTTGTTTACATTGGACTCTGATGGCCCTTTTCATCACTAAAGATTCAACTTCAACATGATGGGCTGATTCTGATTTGAGGAAAAAATAAAAAAAGTTTCCAATGATCAGGCGGCTGTGGGTTGTGGTTTATAGAAGATGATGCACCTCACCTCTAGACTAAATTTGTGAGAAATGGTCAAGATAATGTTGTTTTACATTGGCAGGCTAATCGAGTCTCAAGATGATAAGATGATAAGGAGGCCAAGAGAAAAGTTCCGTGTATGCCCCCCAAAAAAAAAAAACCAACATTTTTCTCCATTGTGGTTTACTTGGCCCAACTCTGTTTCTCTTTAGCTTTTGTTAGTTTTTTGGGCCTTGGCCTCCACAACAGAGAGGAAAAAAAAAAAAAAAAAAAAGAAGAAGAAGGAAAAAACATATGGACCCTCATCAAGTGAAAATATGCGTTCTCCTCCATTACATGCTGCGCAGAAGGTTCCTAAAGAGCCATCAGATGAAGGCTTAGACCATGGGTCAGTGGCCGGCAGCGGCTTCTGTCGGTTGTCGTAGTCATTTTTTCTTATTGGTTCCAGATATAAACAGAGCCATTTCAGGAATATTTGTCTTGTTTTGTTTGGTGGACTTATAGACGTACCACCGAAATGTAGGTTTTGAATCTGCTCAATGAAGAGAGAAATTTTAAACACCGTGTTGGGTACGTAGTAAAGTTACAACGAGGTGGATCTTGTTGAAGAAAGTTATGAGACATGTTTTGTGCTTCAAGTCGAATGTTTGACCAAATGTTCTTCTTTCCTGCATTATGATCAACCTTTTATTATAATTACCTACGACTATTTTTGTGGAGAAATTAAGTGAGTTTATTGATCCATGCAGGAAGAAAGATTTCTTAAAATATCCCGGTGGGTTTGATGTTTGACAATTTGATATTAAGTCCATATTTAACAAATGAAAATGAAGACACCAATTGACATTTGAGAGCTTGCATTGGCCCACCAAACTTTTATCCTTTTTTTTTTCTTTTTTTTTTCTTTTTTTGGGTTTGTTTATTGCTATTGGACTCTGATTCAAATAAAACAATATCTAGTGGGAAGCTGTTGAGCAATTTGACTTTCAGTTTCATAATGGAAAAGAGTTTGGATCAATGAACGTACATTGTTTAGTTGTTTATTGGTTGGTTGCTCCTTCCTTCATCATGTACGCAAATCTCAGTCCATCTAGCTCGTTGACTTGGAGTCTTAGATCTAACATGCATTGCTAACCACAAAAGGAATTTTAGTTTGAGGGCATTAAGAATCTACATGATTAGTAACATGATTAGCACGACCACTGCGATACATATATTGCCTGGACTATTTTTTTTGGAGAACTTGATGGAACGAGGGAAACTTTATTGATAAAATAAAGAATTACAACGCGGGGGACAAAACGCCTACTTCCGACTCAAAGAATCATACAATAAGCCGTCCTCATTTAGATAAGGGGTACCTCAAACTAAATAAAATTATCCACATTATGTTTATGCATACCAAATCGAGCAAGTTGGTGTGCAACACCATTTAATGATATTATGCTTGAAGATAACAACATAAAATCAATTATAATTAAGGACCTATTCAAGTTTTTTCTTTTTGACCAAAAAAAAAAAACTTGAACAACTGATAGGATATTTACAAATATATTTTTTATATAGGGTTACACCGGTCACTCGGGAGGTTTTATCCATTATTATCATATTGTCATTGAGAGATGACTCCCTTTACAATATGTGTCCTTTATACTTTTTATTCTTTTTTATCTAATAAAATTATATCGCCTTTTTATAATAAAAAGGACTACACCGTCACAGTTGATATACCCACAATTAGGTATATATCGAATTTTTTACGATTATATATTATCTTCACACATTCATTCCATACAAGCCGAGCATTAAATTTCCTCAAATCAAGTGAATACAACTACTACAACTCAATCAATGATTGCTAGGGATGAGGAAGGGCAGTTTGTGGCAGCTAGGGCAGTGACGTTTCAACGGGGGTGGACACAATTTTGGATAAACTCGGCCAAACTGTCTCATTCGATTATAAAAGGGTTGGTTTGGATTGATTTGATATTGAGCAGGTCTTGGGTTCAAAAAATCATAAACCACTATATACGGGTTGGAACCAAAACTTAAAAGTGAGCATAATTTTGGATTAATCCAACCGAACCACTCTATCTGATCACAAAATGGTTGAGTTGACTTAACCCAACCCAACCCAACCCGTGTCCACCGTTAGGTTTCAGCATGTGGCATCTCATGCACATGCTGAAATGTTGACATTCCGCGAAGGCCTACGATTTGTTTAAGACACGAGTAAGGGAGCGAAGTTGGTGGATGCAAATGTTAAGAATTTGATTCAAGTGCTTGAGACTTGGACAGATTTTGGTTTTTTGGTTGAAGACTGCAAGAGTCTGTTTTCTAGGTTTCAAAATACTCATATTAATTTTGTTTTTAGAGAGGCCAATATAGTGGCCCATAGATTAGCTTTGTCAATTGAAAACACGTTTTCATAGTATGAGAATTCTCCAAATATCATTCAAGATGTGTTAGTTGAGGACCTTTTGTAATGTTTCCTTGTTGTTTGAATGCATTTATTTCTTTTAAAATATATATATATATATGTGGTTCTCAGTTTTGAAATTTGATCATAAAGTAGTACACTCATGTTTCAACAGGAAAGTGCGTGGAATTGCATTTGCATATAACTTTGAAAAAAAGAAAGCAAACCTCACCTTCTGGGGTTTTATTTAATTAATTATTGATCAAATGCGCGTACTCCAGAAACCCAACTCCCAATTAATACTTTGATCACAATACTTGACCTGCTTAATTGTATAACCCCATCAATGCTAATATAAAAAACCAAGAATCTAGCAGAAGTCTCAGAGTTCCGAAGACTTTTTGCATACGAGTTCTCCCCGCAATCCAGTTCATGCAATGCAATATATGCAGCCCTACAATTGAGTTGTTGTAATAAATTATTTGTTGTATGAATGCTTAAATACGTAGTGGAAACCTTTAAATAAAATTAATTTTCCTAGACCATAGTATACAATAAACTCATAAGCAATTGTGTTACAAGCATTATATATCTACACGTTACACTAAAATAATGCTTATAAACCCTAACAAGCATGAATAAAGTACAGACCGTTGACCTCTTAGGATGTTAATTCCTGCTCCGTTAGCATTCCCAATCCGAGATAAGGGATTACTCCGTCAGATCTTTTCGGTCCGGAGCCGGCCGGTAACGGACTATAACTCTAAACTAAGCTAGCAGCAGGTAATTGAAAGCTCATAACATTTCCGTACCAACTATATGAATGAACTCAAAGACATATATCTATACTATATGTATAAGTTCATATTGCTTGGTGCGTAGCATGTAACGGGAGGGAGGGGTGCTCTATCAAGGATTATGGTTCCTTTCCACGGTTTCATAGCACATAAGTTGAACCTAATTAAGATAAAATGATCATGCATCAAATTTTCTCATCCTCGATCGAGATTGATTTGACCACCAAATTAAAGTAATTTTTAAACATATCACGTAGTGTTGTCTCCAAGTCAGATAGGATGAGATATATAGCTTGGAATGGACCAAGACAAATTATTAGACGTCAACGGTCTTGATCCCAAGGTTATTCTATATACCTATAGGGGCTGCCCATGGCCGAGTCTTGCGCTTACAAGTGGACTGCTTGCATTTTAAAATTACATATTTAATTTGGGCACATAGGGGTTCAAGATCAAGAGCCATCATGCTTCATTTTGCTTTGTTTTCGTTGAGTAATCTAATGAATTTCAACGGATTTGTTAATAGGATAATACAGTATATTCTTCCTTCGTTTCATTTTTTTTGTCCCCCTTAACATGTCAAAGTTTTGAAACACCTAATTTGTAATTCTCGGTAATTATCGTTCTAATTAAGAAGATAAGATAATAGCTCCTCTCCACTTAATCAGGACCTGTAATTGATATCCTGTCAAATTACAATGCACCGAAAGTGATCCCGCGTTTATTTAATCTCCTTTGAAATTGTACACAAACATTGACTCCAAATCTATCTTTGAACAATATTTATCCGCATAAATAATCTCTCTATTCATCATGCTTCATCATTTGTATAGTTTTTATAATGATTCAACCTAAATTACCATTAAAAATGTAGGAATAATATGTTTGCATGCCGTCATTGCCATTTTTTTTCAAATACAAAGGCGAAAGAGAGCAAGGATCGAATTCTGACCGCATATATGTTCAAACTTAGCGTGTAGATTGAATGGACGAACACATAATTTTTGGTATATATACCTTGGAGAGTTCCACACCTAATTCCAATTCCAGCGTGAATTGATCATTGCATTAACGTTAAAGAGGTCAAATGCATGGACAAATGAATCCAAAAGGCAATAATCTTGAACTGACCACAACATCTTTCCATACTATAATTAACACCCATAGTTGACCTGAATCTTATTTTTCCTTACTAGCTACAAAACCCTAATGCCCCCACCCTTTGAAATAAATTTCCAGCCAATTAATTATTTGACCATGAACCAATCCCCATGTGACTTTTGCAACGTACGAAACTTCAACTTTGCATATTATACAATTTTGAATTAAGTGGGGACCGAGTTTTGCGGCTACAAGCCTTCATCTCTCTCTCTCTCTCTGTCTGGCAGGTTATCGCAAACGTTGACGTTGAATTCTTCTTCTTTTGTTTTCTTCAATATTTTAAAACAAAATTAAAATGAATAGTTGCAGTGTGTGTGTGTATGTTTTCTTCCTCGCTGCAATTGGAGAAGGAAGCAGTTGACATTTTGTGTGCCGTGTTTATATAATTTAGGGGATTAATTAATTAATAAATTATATTCAGGCTATAGCTCTCTCAACGTATGGAGTTTGAATAATTTCAAGGTCCAAAGGGACGAGTCAAATACTGCATGCCGTCTATAAAAGAAGAAGAGCAATTGAGGAGGCCCGCAGAGTCGAGTTACCCAAAAAAAGGATAGACAGAAAAATCAAAAACGAGAGAGAAAACTGAAGAAAGCGATGGAGGCTGCTTTGGGAAAGTCCAATTCTCATGAAGGATCAGAAAAGGAAGAGAAGAGACTGGTACTTGAATCTAGCAGTCTTGCAGATCATGATGATCAAGAAGCAGCTGGTAGCGAAGAAGATACTCTTCTCAAAGTAAGTCATATTTGTTTCTAATTTTTTGTTCGAAATCAATATTCAGAAAAATAATACATGATGAAACTCTTAATTACATGTGGATATCATTAACCTTGTGATTAATTTATGCGTTGAGTACCCACAAAGGAAAAAATTCTATAAATTTTGAAAGATCACTTGTTTTAGATAACTAATATTATTAGTTTGATGAAAATAAGGTGCATATCCATGATTCTGTGGCTATTGCTAGCTGTTTTTATCCTCATCTTTTGACAAAACTAAGTTATAAATTGACATATTAATTCTTCACGAAATTTTATAAGTACTTTTTTTAGTCAAAGGCGATAGCTTTTTATTGATGTATAGGTTGAAACAAGTACAAAAATCGGGCTATCGTTTTATTCTTCATGAAATTTTATAAGTACTTAATTGCTAGCTAATTAACAATTATTTCTCTTTTAATGATATGAAATTTACAGGTTGGAAATGGAGGATCATGCCAGGAAAATAACGAAATGAAATCATCCTCACCTACACAGAAAGATTTGAGTAGCAGCAAGCAGGTAATAGAAACTGAAGCCTTTCCAATCAAGAAAATATTTCCCCTTTCTTAAAATAAACAGTTTTTGAATGATACCTGACTGATCTATATATTTTTCTAGTTCGTTTGGATTTCAAGTAATTTTGCATATAAAAGCAAATAAATATCTCAAAATATCTATCATTACTAATGGAGATTTGAAACCATCTCAATCACTGATTTGATTTTTCTTCCCAAGTTTGTCTTCCCACTCAAACGTGTCAATGTAAAATTATGAATATAATTCCTAATGAAAGGTTAAGATCATAATTTGAAAGGTGTAATCTTCATGAGCAGATAAATATTTTCAATATTAGAGGACCTAAAATTAGGGCAGAAACCAGAGAGCTCTATATGTGATGTTTGGCTATTTAGCTAGTGGTTTGAACTTGCATGACTTGTTACATGGCTGCCTATGAGCTAAGCTTTTGTCTATGCTAAACGTTTAATTTGAATAGGAAGACTAACTAACTATTCGTTTAATGGTAATACTTCTCTTTCCAATGCTAAAAGAGATTCCAAGTTCGAATATTACGATATACTGTTAACTCATCAATATGAACTTTTCTAACTTATCATGCTGAATTGAACAGATATCAACGACGAGTAATATGAAGGTGGAACCTGATCATTCAATGGCGTCTACTTCATCAAGTCGAAAGGAACAGGATTATCAGCTTGAATCTGCTAGAGCTGAAATGGGTGAGGTTAGAGAAGAGAATCAAAGGCTGAAGAAGTACTTAGATCGGATAACAGACGAGTACCAGACACTTCAAATGCAGTTGTATGACATTCAAGAAAAAGCAAACAAGTCCAAGGATGTTACAATTGCTAGTACTAACAATATTTATAACCATCAATACGAGGAATCCGAGATGGTCTCACTCAGCCTTGGATCGTTTTCTAGCAGAGCCAAAAAGGATGAAAAGAACAAAAACCGTAGTACCAGTAGTCAAGGGAAAGAAAACGAGTCAGATAGAGAAAGCTTGTCTTTGGGGCTAGACTGCAAATATGAAGCACCTAAATCAAGTGCTGCAACTACTGAAGTGCCTTTATCGAATTCAAGCCCTGCAAGCAGCCTTGAAGAGGTGCCCAAGGAAGAAGCAGGTGAGACCTGGCCACCTAAGAAAGTTCTCAAGACAGCGAGAAGTGTAGAAGATGAAGTTGCCCAACAGAACCCAGTGAAGAAAGCTAGGGTTTCAGTGAGAGCCAGATGTGATACCCCAACGGTTAGTCTACATGCAAAAATGAAATCAATTAAAGATATAGCTAGCTAGATGTAGCCAGGCGTGAGATTTTACTAACAAAATATAATGTATTTGGACACAGATGAATGATGGATGTCAGTGGAGGAAATATGGACAGAAGATTGCAAAAGGAAATCCATGCCCTCGTGCATACTACCGTTGCACCATCGCACCGTCATGTCCTGTACGGAAACAGGTGAATATATATGCACCTTATTTGGCGATGAACACATCACCTGTACATAATATGATGCACCATGTAGTTTAAAAATGTATTGTACATATGTTAATTTTTTTGGTTCGTAATTAATTTCAGGTACAAAGATGTGCGGAGGACATGTCCATCTTAATCACCACATATGAAGGAACGCACAATCACCCACTTCCTATGTCAGCCACAGCTATGGCTTCCACCACCTCTGCAGCCGCTTCCATGCTATTATCCGGCTCATCATCATCAGCCCGGTCTGGCCTGAACCCATCAGTTGGGGCCACCACAACTGCTGCTCACGATCTTCATGGATACAATTTCTATCTCTCTGACAACTCAAAATCCAGATTCTTCATACCCAACTCTTCATTGTCATCTTCTCTTCCAACAATCACCTTAGACCTAACTTCAAACCCACCACCACCATCATCATCCTCCAATCCCTTGTCCCATTTCAATAAATTTTCTTCTTCATCAAATTCTTCTCACCAACTACACCCTCCCACCAGCCTCAACTTTGGTTCTAATTCTGAATCCAACACCAACATGTCATGGAGCAATGGGTTCCTTTCCTATGGGGCTCAATTACCACCATACAATAGCAACAACAAGAACCAAATTGGATCACTAAGTAGTCTTGGAATTAGGCAACAGCAGCAGCCTCTACAAAACAATATATACCAAAACTACATGCACAAGAATAATCTTAACCCAACTCCTCCTCCTCATCCTTCTCAAGGAGCAACTCCTCATCAGTTTCAACCAGACCCCATTGCTGCTGCAACCAAGGCAATCACAGCTGACCCAAGTTTCCAATCTGCCTTAGCAGCTGCACTTTCTTCAATCATTGGCAGCAACAGTAATGTTGGGACAGCTGGCACTACTGGAATGCTAGGCAACAACAACAATCAGGCTGGTGGTGGTGACAATAACAATATGGCTCAGAAATTCAACTGGGGCGACCAATTTGCAGGAAGTACAACTACTTCTTCTTCTCCATACCTCCAAACGCAGATAGGGAACAATAGTACCATTGGATGTGCATCAAGCTATTTGAACAAAACGACTTCTGCGAATTCGCAGCCCGGGAGCTTGATGTTTCTGCCACCTTCATTGCCATTTGCAAGTGCCCCCAAGAGCGCATCTACGTCTCCTGGTGACACTAGAGATCACAAAAGTTTATAGTTTTTTTTGGAATATATATTTGTTAATTTGTAATCAAGCAAGAGTAGAGGCAATTAATTCAACCGAGACAATTAAACTGAGTTTGATTTTGTGTATTATTAGATTTTTTTATTTTTTATTTCTTCTAAGTATAGAGTTGTGATGGTATATGTTGTAAATTGTAATTTCCATCTAGGACGTGGATGTATGCGGAAAGGATTGACCATGGATTAGCTGACATAAGCTTTGGTGTTTAAGTATGCTTTAACTCTTAATCACTTTGTTAACGTCCTTAATAAAAACACTGCATTGATCCTGCAGTGGTCATTTTCAGTGACACTGAATTGCCGACCATTTTATATTCTTTAGCTATAGAGACAAAATTTATGGACCCACCCCCCTCCATATTGTAGTCAAAGTACGTCAAATACTACTCTCTAAATTATTTTCCGTAGGCTCATTCTAAAATTTACCATCCTCATCCAATTATTAGGTCACAATTTAATCGATCAATTTGCTCTGCGGGGCCCAGGATCAATGTATCTACTTGTAAAAGCCAAACCAAGACCCCCCCTTAAGTTCCTTTCCTGATGCTCTGCATAGTTTTTTTCCAGCTAGCTCATGAAATATGTTCTGTAAATAAGGAGACAAAAAGGGCGCATCATGAAATGACAGCAAGGGGCTATATGGTTGGTATGTCATGAATACAATGTGATTATAAATTGTAAAGAGTAAACTACCTAGGGTTAGTGGCTATGAAAATGAGTGATTATGAATTGTTAATATGTAGGTCTTTCGTAGTCACACATACATCAATAATAACGATCATTTATATATGCATCTGTAATTCACGAAACATAACTTTGTTTATAAGCTCTTATAATTCTCTTTATTTTCAATATTATAAAAAACTTAAAGAGTATATTAAAGTCACCCATTTCAAGGTTTTATCTTAGGTAATTTGACTACTCAAAGATGGACATGGTAGCTCTTGAATCTCTCAAGAGAATGAAAAACCATAAAAAGGAAAAAGAAAAAAGAAAAAGGTGGAGAGAAAATTCCCTCCATTCACTTTTTATAGGAGAATATATTAGAAAGAGAAGGCAAGTGGGCAAGTAGGGAGGCTCTGTTTTTTTGGGTTAGTTTTTTCAGCTTTTGTGGATGGATTGTAAAAGAAAGAAGAGCCAATTTGGGTGTTATGACTTTTCTTGTTCTTCTTCACCACTTTGATACAATTTTTCTGATTTGAAATCCTAGATTTGAATTATTTGAAATCAACAAACCAATATCAATTTCTCAACAAAAAAAAGTTCGTTTTTATATAAAGATTGCTCTCTTGTTAATCAGAAAACAGAAGAAAAAGCAATGGGAGAGTCCATAAACGTGTTTTGTTTATACCACGGGGTCGGAGGAGACTGGGCAGCGACTCCGCAAGTTTCCAGAAACGTGTTTTGTTTTTGGTTTTTTAACTAATATATTGTTCAGTAAAAGAAAATGAAATAACCTTTTATGTCTTTTAAAATAGGTTTTTTCTCCACCCTTAGATTAGATCCAAGGGTGGGTGACCACAAACTCGACTACGGGGGTCTAGGAGAACGGGACTGTCACATTCACTTGATAATTCTGATATAAGCTAATTTACAAAACCACCTCCACCCTTCTCTCTCTCTCTGTGTCTCGGTATTTCTGTGTTCCTCTCCTCCCAGACCTAATGGCTTCGATCTGATTAAACCCACCTCCAAAGCCCCTTCCTTGATCACCCCCTTCACCAACCCAATTCTGAACCTGTTCAGATCGAGACCTCTTGGAGATTCGGAGCTCCAGGTGAGATAATTTTCCCCAAATTATCTTCAATTTCTTTTGTTCTTATTCATATCCAAATTTAATTTTAGAATTGGTTGTTATTTTAGGCGGGTAACGAAGCTATAATCAGAAAGATCCGAATTTTATGTCTGGATGGTCAAGTGCCTAGCTTTATTAGCTTTGTAGTCAATTGGGTATTTGTAGTCCAAATATGAATTAGGGTTTTGTTTCTTAGGGTCAAATTAGTGAAGAGAATATGCTTCTTTTCGTTTTCATGGATGCCGTAGCTCTAAACACCTAAAAAGTTGCTTAATTGAAGTGAAATTTCCAGTTTTTGGGCTTACTTTCAGGTCCTGAGCTTTGTTTTTGTGTATATTTAGCTCAGCTAAAGCTATCCTAGCTGGTAATTTGAAGTATTTGTGTTGATGATTCTATTTCTTCATCACTATGTATCTTACCCGTTGCCCAAATTGCTTGCCCCAATTTTTATACATTCAATTTGGTGTAGACATTTTTTTCTTTTACTTTTTTGGTAGGCATTGGAAACAATATGCATTGGGATTCACCTCCAATGCACGGTTAATCTTAAAATACATATTGAATTGGGTTGATGTTTATTGATTGTTGATTGCTGTGAGTAGCAAACTAGCAATGTCGACTCCTGCGAGGAAGAGGCTGATGAGAGACTTCAAGAGGCTGCAACAAGACCCACCTGCAGGGATTAGTGGGGCGCCCCAAGATAACAATATAATGCTGTGGAATGCTGTTATATTTGGGTATGTTGGAAAAATGAAGTGCAAAAAAAGAAATTACTATAGCATTCTCTTTGTTATGCAACATTAATATTCATTTTTCGATATGTTTTAAGTACGGTTGGATAAGCCATTTCTCTTTTCTTGTCTGGTTTGGATTGCAGTCCGGATGATACTCCTTGGGATGGAGGTTAGTTAATCCTTGTACTGAAGCTTTTGATTATGTTAATGCGTTTCAGACGTGGGATATTCTGATCTAAGTTTTACATTCTAGAATGAAGATGAACAGCATGTACAGTAGTTATGTTATGCTTTAGTTAAAATAGCGATTCCAAAGTGTTTCCTTTTCTTTTGTAAAGGATTTTATATCTTCTTCTTGAAGAAATAATTAGATTGCAGTCCGATGGATTCCTTATTTCACTAAGTTCCTAAAATTTTCTTACTTTCTAATACCAAATTCTGAAAACCAGAACCTGAATATTGAGTAAATAACTAAAAGCTTTCCTCCTTTGTTTCTCTTATGTCTTTTGCCCATTGATGTGACCACGGTATGCATGTTTCTGTTAAATAACCTTAACTTTGTTACTATTTACATTTAAAAACTCTCTGTTGGAGTAATACAGGCACGTTTAAGTTGACCCTTCAGTTTACAGAGGATTACCCAAACAAACCACCGACAGTCCGATTTGTTTCTCGAATGTTTCATCCAAATAGTAAGTTGGATTATACATGTCTTGACATCACAATTTTCTGCATATTAAGCATTTCTCCTCTGGTTTCTGAATTCAATTTTTCTTTCAAATTTGGTCAGTTTATGCAGATGGAAGTATTTGTTTGGATATTTTACAGAATCAGTGGAGTCCTATATATGATGTGGCAGCTATACTCACGTCTATTCAGGTATGGTTGAATTGTGTGGATAAGATTTTTGTTCCTTGCTTATATTTATGAATTTTCAGAGCATGTAGCAAAGGTGTGTCGCCTATAGCATACATTTGACTTAGAACTTAAAGAAACATCGTATTGGGGAGGTTAAAGTTTTGCTTCTACACCTTAGGGTCTTAAGGAAGGCTAGTACGTTTATATTTATTCCAGTACAGTGTGAGTTTTATATATCTATACTACAAATGTAGCTGCACGTGCCAATGAAGGCTTGTATGTATTTCGATGTAGACCAATTATGAATGGAAATAGTGATGTATGTGTTGAGAAACTTTTAGTGTGCGGAACACCAACAATCTGAGAAGACCCTAACATCTACCATTTTCTTATTGCAGTCACTACTATGTGATCCCAACCCAAACTCTCCTGCAAATTCAGAAGCTGCTCGCATGTTTAGCGAGAACAAGCGTGAGTACAACCGAAGAGTGAGAGAAATCGTGGAACAGAGTTGGACAGCAGACTAACTCCTTCACATGGGAGCTTGTAGGACAGTCGGAATTTGTTCAAAGGCATTTTTAAGTAGCATTTCTAGCTACTGCGAGAATCGTTGTGCCAACTGATCAACATTTATCCTGTATTTCAATGTTTTATTCCCAAATTATGACGCTTAGGATTTGCTTTGTCTTAAGATATGTCTTGCCAGCTGCCACATTGCATTCTTAGTTAAGCTCTTGTAAAATAGTGTTGTGTATCAATTTGCATTGGTTTGTTATGAACTTGGATGTTCGGTATTTGAAATGAAAGTTAGTAGTTTACTACAAAAGCAGAAATTTTCGGTCCTTAATTTTTATCTCAATCGAGTAGATTGCTACTTAGAGCATCTCCAAGGGAGATGTCAAATACCAAACATTAAATTTAAATTTGATGGCTGATGTGGCAATTTGACATTTACACAATTTTATAATCCAACCGATATGTTAAATAAATAATTATTGTAACAGTCAAATCATTTAATATAAAGAAAAGAAAAAAATTAAAAAAAAAGGAAAATAATTATTGAAACATTCATTGCATCTCTATCCTTAAAGGTGACCAAAATATCTCTAGGTTTCACTAAACTCTTAGACATGTCCACTAACAAGGCATTCTCCTCTTCTGAAAGTCGCTCCACAAATGAATGACCTTGAAGATACTCTGAAATAGGATGGTTGTGTACTCCATAAACCACCATCAAATTCCAATCATCCCCATCACCAATATTGACACTTTTTAACAATAATGGACATCCACATTTCTTGGTACTAGTGTCCCTAGCACATTTTTTCATATCACTATTTGCATCCGGCCTTATATCAGTTGTCTCACTAGACTTGCAAGACTTATAGTTACCGCTCCTCTCACAAGCAAGTATTACACGAGGTCTCCTCTTGCCCTTACCTCTATAATTAATGACAATGACAATATTATTTATTTTTCCTTGTGCACGAGCCCATCTAAGTAATGCATCTCTACCATTGAATATCTACACATAAAACTCATATTATTTAAAGATAAAATTTGAAACATCAATGCCATGTTAATGACACTAGAAAGGATTTCAGACAAACAAAAACTCAAAATAATTACCAAATAAGTTGTGAATTGATCACTATAGTCTATTACATATTATGTTATCACATTGTTGCCTTTAGTAGGGGCATCACCTTGTTTTTGTTCCTTCAATGGGAGTAAGATCAAAATAGCTTACATTAAATTTGTGGTCGACAATAAGTTACTGAAAAAATAAATAAATTTCGGTTTGATGCCACTGAAACGCAGATAAAGG